CGGCAGCACCCCGCAGAGCGGCTCCGCGCCTGGCAGCGAGCGCGGCAGCGTCAGCGGCGCGGCGCTGCCGCCGCTGCCGGTCGGCGTCACCAATGCGGGGCGGCTGTACGCGTGCGATGTGGAGGGCTGGCCGCCCACCCTGCAGGTCCTCTGCGAACACATGGAGCACGAGCTGCCCTTTCACAGGGAGCCCCTCGCCCTGCAGCTCGAGGCGATGGCCGCGGCGCCTGGCAGCGGCAGCAGCGGGCACGGCGGCGGCGGCGGCGGCGGGCGCGGGGCGCCGGGGCCGCCGGCGGTCGGGCCGGCGCTGGCGGACGCACACTTGGTGGACCTGCACCCTGCCAGCTGGTTTGCTGCCGCGTGGTACCCCGTGTACCGCATCCCCGAGTCGCCGCTGCCGGCGCGATTCCTCTGCTTCTACTCGCTGGCGGCGCCGCTGCAGCTGCTCGCAGAGGCCGAGGCCGCGGCAGGCGCGGGCGGGGGTCTGCCGGCCGGCGCGGCCGGGCTGCGGCTGCCGATCGTGGGGCTGAAGTGGTGCGACTTGCGAGGCGAGCGGTGGTTTGAGCCGATCGCGGCAGAGGACCCTGCGGCGCACGCAGACGGCAGCGACTGCGGCAGCGACTCCGGCAGCAGCGGCGGCGACGACGACGAGGAGGGGCAGGCCGACGGGGCTGGCGGGTCCGGCCCGGCCCCCAAGGACAAGGAGCGTGGCGACGAGGATGCTGGTGCGCCCAGCGGCGGCCAGGAGGGCGGCGCAGAGGACCGCGGCGCCGAGGCGGACGGCGACGCGACGAGCTGCAGCAGCGGCAGCTGCAGCTGCTGCGCGCCGGCGGCCGCGTCCGCCAAAGGCGGCGCCCCGGGCGGCGGCTGGAGCGAGCTGGAGCTCACAGCGCGCCTGGAGGAGCTGCAAGCGACGGCCGAGCGCCTGGCGCGCGGATCGTGGCTGCGGGTCCTCGACGCGCAGGGGGCGCGCGCCCTGAAGCTGTACCACTCGGACTTTGAGTTCTTCTACTCGCGATCTGGTTGATCTGACGCGGCGCCCTCACAAACAAGAGAGGTTCCGCCGGCCCCTCGGCCCCCTCGCACCTGCGGCGCAGCTGCCGCCGGGTCTTTGCACAAACCCGCCGGCGCAGGGTGCTGTGTGGAAAGAGTGGCACAGGCGCGTGATTGAAGAGAGCAGCCGCGTCGGCAGGTGCCTTGCAATTGACGGGTTCGAGCCATCACGAGGGGCGCTGATCAGTGTGTGGTGTCCAGTTTCCGTCCCCTGTGTTGCTGATGTGGCTTGGTGCATTGGAGTCCCCGCCGCACCTCTGGTTTCGACGTGTCGCCGCCATCGTTTTGCTCCCAACGAGTCAGTGCGGCGGGGCTTGCAAGGGGGACACCGTTCCGGACCGATCGAATCCTACGCCTGTTGATCCACGTCCATGCCTCGTCCCTGCGTAGCGGCCCCCAGCCACGTGCTGGCCGCCCCTCGCAACACGCACGCATGCGGCCGCACGTACTGCGCCCAGCGTCGCGCGCCGCCGCGCACATACACCTCGAATCCCATCTGCCAGGCAAGACCCGCTGCTGTTCCAGAGGTTGTGTTCCCAACGCACCGTTTGCAGCAAGTGCTCTGCCGTTCGCTTTGCTTGCCCCTTCACGCATGCAATGATCCAGGCCCGAAAGCCGCCGCGCGTGCTCAGAGGCACAACCAACCCGCCGGCGCACATGCACGCCACTAGCACCCACTCTCACTGCCGTTTGGGAGCGTCCTTGCATGCAGGGGGCCAAGGCGCGGCGTCTTTGAAACATCAGGCCAATGCCTTGTGCCAGGCGCACGCATGGCTGGCGCGCCTGCGTGCCCCTGCTACATCGAAGGTGCAAGGCGAACAGCTTGCGCACTGGCGGCATGCTTCGCTGCGCCGTTGTCGCCCCATCAGCTATTCCTGTTGCGGCCCCAATCACAGCCTCCGGCAAACGGCCAACTCAACCACACGAGTAAACTTCCCCTAGTTTGTGACAGCTTCTGCCAAAAGACAGGCCAGGTTTTGCAGCGTTACATGGCGCGCGCGTGCGCGCGGCAACCAAGGGCGTAAGAGCGAAGGCTTCGACGCTGTCAACCTGCTCAGCAAAACAACACGCCTGGGGGCTGAGCGCGAATGGGGCGGCACCCGCTTTCCTTTCAAAGAGTCACACCGCTGGAGGTACCACGTCTGGTGCGTGGCACGGCTTGCACGATCAAGTCGCCTGCACGCACGTGGTGAGGGTTGCCACAAGGCAGTCAGCAGAGGTATTTGCAAGCAGAAGTTGGTGCAGCACGGCACGGGGCGCACATGGCAAGCTGCAGCAACAAGGGTTGCAACGCAGCCCAACTGTCGCTGCCCCAGCACCCACCTGTGCCTGCAACCGCCGCAGCTGCTGCTCCGCTGCCTGCCCCGCCGCCGACGGCGCCCGTGAGCCGCTGCCAGGGGCACCTGCAGCTGCCCGCTGCGCACGTGCGGCCGTTCCCCTGCTGTGCTGCCGCTGCAACCAAGGACAGCAGGGAGGGCAGCAGAATGGGGTAAAAGCCAGCGTATGTTGTGTTGTAGTGCGCGCTGTGGGGCGGCCGCGCGTGTCGTGGTTTGACGTAGCGAGGCGAGACTGTGCTGCCATAGGGATCGATGTCCCCGTTCACCTAGACGACCGCTGCTCTAACCGCCCCGCTTGGAACAGGGCTTGCTTATCTCTCCTGCCAAGGAGGCGTGCGCCCTCTTACTAATTCCCGACTTGGCCGCACCCGCTTTCTCCTCTGGCCTTTACGGTTAGGGGCATTACCCCTTTGGGGAGCCAGGAGCTCTCCCCTCGCTGCTGGAACAGCGTGATGTAATGTAATGTAATGTAATGTAATGTAATGTAATGTAATGTAATGTAATGTAATGTAATGTAATGTATGTTGTGTTGACTCAGACTCAGCGATTTGCAGCCATTGGCCTGTGCCTGTGATGCGTCATGCAGGCTGCTCACCCGCAATCGCTCGATCTCCGCGGCCGCATCTGCGCGCTGCTGGGCCAGCTGAGCGGGGCTAGGCCTGCCGGTTGAGGGGTTGCCGGCGAGATCGGTCGTTTCAGACATTAATCGTTTAGTGTTTTGAATTGCCGCAGCTGCCACAGCTTCATTGAAGGGCGCCATGCTTCGCTGCACGCAGCGCAGCAGCCTTGGCCGCACCGTCACCCCTCCCGGCCCCCCTTGCTTTGAGCGTCAGCAGCAGCCGCAACCCCGGCAAGATCGGGCGGCTGCTGGTAGGCTGGCCGGCAGCTACCCGTCTGCATCACTCCACCCAGGACGCCTTTCTCAAGTAAGGCCCAGCCCCACCTGTTGAGTCCCATGATGTCGCGGAACAGCCCGATGTCCTTGAGAGTGGTGTACCACAGCAGCACCCAGCCTGCGGGGTGGGGGATGCGCTGCTCAATGCAAAGCCCATTGCCGGGCTACTGCACGTGAGCACGCCTGACGCAGAATCTACAGCAACTGATGGGCGGGCCCGGTGTCGCGCCGTGTTTCCCCGCGCCCAGCTCGCCTGCTGCGATTGAGAGACACACGAGCAGTAAGGTGGCTACGATGCTGGCAGCTGCGAGGACCTGCTGCATCCAGGCGCGCAATGCGCTGAGCTCGTCCTGACGCGAGCAGGTCGAAGCCCAGCGCCACGACGGAACGACACCGCCGCACGAACACTCTAGCCGTGTGCGCTGAGATGTTCACGGGTTATGCTCAGTGCATATGCATATTTTCAGCTTGGAAGCAGCTGATAGTGAAGCGTGCATCAGATCAAACTGTGATACCACGAAGGTTTTATCAATCAGTGCTACGAGGGAACGTAATTGATTGGTCCTGGCATCCTCGATACCTTTTTCAAATTGGCGCTGATCGGCTCCGCAGCAGCAGCAGCACTGTCACCAGAGACCAGTCTCATCACAAATGGAGCTCAGTCCCTCAGGCGTATGGCAATTGTGGCAGCGTGTAAGGGAGACATCACCTCTTGTGCAATGTATCACCAACTTTGTCAGGTCCGCCGGCAAAGGGCTAGCTGCCGCCCCGCCCACACTGCAGGGCCATGCAGTCACGCCCGCAGGCTCGGATGCGCTGCAGTCCCACGCAACGATTGATGGCCGGCTCAGCAGCGGCGGACCCGTCCAGGTCCTGTTCCTCCCCTAACATGCTGACAAGCGCATGTTGTAGGCCACACTGAGGGCACCTGCACTACACCCAACATCCACCCCTCTCTGTGCCGCCATCTGCTGCCGCTCCGCAGCATGGACATAATGGCCAATGTGCTGCTGGCGGCGGGCGCCTCCCCCGCGATGGCGCATGCCTTGGATGAGGTAAGCCCCTGATGACACCTACAGCTCGTCTGGGGCAGCCTCCTGAACCCAGGAAGCCAGTGAGGTGGTCAAAGTGAAACCCACAACAGGGCTCCCAACCCTCAACACACCGCAAGGACGGCGGCCCACCCTTGGGATCTTGAGGCTTTAAGTTGCAGGCCGCCTCGCTCCTGCCGCCTCATCCTCAAACCCCTCGCACGGTGCGCGGGCGCGCCAGCGGCCCCGCCACGTGCCAGCCCTCTGCCGGGCGCCGCCTCTCCTCAGCATCGACCCTCCCCTGGCACTCACCACCGCCGCCCCCTCAGGTCCAGGACTTTGTGGCGATCAGCAGCGCGCTCCTCATCAACATGGGCACGCTCAGCTCCGACTGGGTGGCCTCCAAAAAGGTGGGGCCGGGCGCTGGATTACCCAGCAGTGCAGCTGCCGCTGTCATGCCCAGAGGGGCCGCCGGCCTCACCGCCTGCGCCGGTGGGGGCCTCGCCCCTCCAGACGGCGCCGTGATATGCTGCGGCAACCCTCGCTCATGCAGCCATCTACGCCCGCCACTCGCTGCCGCCTCAGCCATCAGCGATTCCCGGCTCACAAGCATCAGACTCGCCCCCCCCCCCCCCCC